TTGTTAAAATCTTGTTGATGTATATTTTTAGTAAAATGTAGGGGTGCACGATTTTTTTGGCTGATATCGATAGCTGATGATTAACCAACCATATCGGCTGATCCGTTAACTGATATTTAGAAATAGTGCAAGGCATTTTAAACTACTGATGTAAAGAAACTTTTTTTGTTTGTTTTCTACTGTAACATGCACGCACGTGTGTGTGTGTGCCTCCTGCCTGCTACTGCTGTCAGTGAGGAAGGAGGTGACCTCCTTATTCCCATGCATGTCACCCCCTTGCCTACAGCCCCTACCCCCTGCTCTGCTCCCCACATAGCTCATGCTGCAGTCCGAGGCAGGTAGGGCAGACCCTCATGCAGTCAGTGATGCTGGGCGTGCTTGCAGCCCTAGAGCATCCGCCTCAGCACCGGCAGGCCCTGCGCAGCTGAGCTCTTGCGGCTGCCAGGGAGAAGCCACTTTTGCAAAGGTGCCTGGTGCCTGGCAGAGTGGAATGTCCCTTGTGCAGTGTCTTACCCTTCCCGTGCAGAACCAAGTCTCTCTCCAGCAGCCCCAGTGCTCAGGCCCCTGTGGTGGTAGCAGCAGCAGCTGGTAATGGTCCCTTTTTGTTGAGTGCCCTGTGACTGCTCCCTAGTGTCCTCTCCCCCTCCTGCTGCTATACTGGGACCTGTAGTCTGCCATGGGCTAGGGTGGAGTGTGGGGACTGGGCAATGCTCTCCAGGGTGCTCTGGGCATGTGGCCACAATTATCAGCTACAATGACCAAAAAAAGCCAAAAGCCCATAACGTCATTTCTCCATTTTATCAATGCCGATCCAATAGCCAACTGATATTGGTGTGCCCCTAGTAAAATGAGGTAGTTAAGACTTGGAAACAATAATGTTTGGGGTTAAGGGACCTTAGTGTTGCTTTAAGTTTACCTTTTCTTCCTCCAAAAGAAGCAAGAACAATAACAATTGCACTCAGTTTCTATATGAGTGGCCCCATATTAAGCCCTCTCTAGTCCTGACTTTTGTACTTGCAGTATTTTTGTGCATGCAATACATGCAAGGTAGAATATTTTTCAATGCAGTTTTAATTTTAGTCTTAGTGAATTTAACTCTTTTAGTCCTGTCATGTTTATTTGATTTTTTCTGTGTGATTTTGTGCAGGTAATAGTAGTTCTAAGTCTTCATAGTTAGTGACTTATATTCAGGAGAACAAGCTGTTTTTTCTAAAATTGAACCTGAAAATGTGGGGTCAACTTCTACATGCTTGACTGACAATCAAAAAATATCTATAGTATATCTGCTTCTCACAGGTACTGGCATGTTATATGAATCAGCCCCAAAATTTCTGATGTTTTTGCTGTTTTTTCATTTGTTTTTTGCTCAGCATTAAGAAATGAAGAAATAAGGCAAAACGTTGAAATGTGTTGAAAATGAGAAACAAGGTGAAATGTTATGTACATTTCTTTGATCATCAAAAACAAACTAACAAGAAGTTAAGGGCAATTAGGCTGATTAAGGTTTGCTTTATTTGAAATTTTGAATTGGTTTGTCCCTTTCTGATACATATTCCTTTTTTCCCCTAGATTTGTCCTCCTAACCAAAATCACTTCCCCCCCAACCACCAAATGCTACAAACCCATGCTATAGTAGAAAAGAGAAACTTGCCTCAACAATGACCATAGCTGTCACAGAACAGATTAACTCATATAAACAACTCAAGTGCTCTAGCCGCTTATCTGCCAGGGTAAATCAACACTCTAGTTCACACATCCTTGAGGCATGAAGATTGATTAAAAGCCTCACATGGCCATAAAAGCTAAAATGTTAAGTATATGACTTCCAAGGTTTCTATGTAACAAGAGTATTAGGAGACAGTAAGAGAGAGTTAGGGAGAAAATAAATACAGGAAAAAATGAATTCAAAGAGAGTCTTTGATCTGGTGACACGTGCTTGACATCGATACCTTCTTATTTCCTAGAAAATAAAATTATAACCTCCAGTTTTCATCACAGTCTAAATTATCTATTTTATTTTATATAATAAGATATGAATATCTGGTAAAGATAGGAGACATTTCCTTTAAAAAATGTATTTCTCATTAACCTTTGTGTGTGTTGAGGGTGGGGAGGTTAGTTAAGAAAAACACCTGAGGTGTAAATGGAAGAAAGCTTTACTGATTTTAGCTGTCTAGTATTGTAGCATAACTAGAGAACCAGGACTGAACTGACTTTAAGCTACAGTGAGTATTGAGAAAAACAGTCTAAAGACCTGCTGATAGCACTGGTTTAAACATACTGGGATTAACTTTATAGTCATCATTACGTTAAATAAAGTGGCTTAAAGTGTCTGTTTTGGAGTGGTTTTTTTTTTTTTTTTTTTTTTTTTTTTTTTTTTTTTTTTCTTTATTTTTTGCCAATAACATTTTTTTTTTTTTTTTTTTTTTTTTTTTTTTTTTTTTTTTTTTTTTTTTAACTTTCACTTAATTTACTGGCCATATACGTTCTGGGGTCTGGTCCTTAGCAAATACTTCCAGTGTAAAGCTGTTCCTTGGTTAGCATAGAACTGCAGGATAAGCCTGGCAGCCAGGGCTTATGCATTGGAAGGAAAAGCCTTGGCTGGAGGCATGGCCAGTGTGCCCAGAGTGTACAGCCACATTTCTTTTTCTGCTTCCTCAGCCATGTATGATGTATATGCAGCAGAGCATAAAGCTGGAACAGCCCAGAAGTTGCACTGATTTATGCTGATGCTGGTACTGGCTCTTGAATGGTCCTTGAATGCACAACACTTTGCTCTCTCTTTTCATGGGGATAGGCTAACTGAGTCTTGGGGCCTTTTCATTGAATGTGGAACATGTAGCAGTGGTGAAATGCTGTGTGTGTGTCAGGGGGTGGCCTGTCACTGTGAGAAAACAGAATTAGTGTCTGGTGGAACTACATAACAGTACACAGTTTTAAAGCATGTTACATGCCTAAATAGGTGTCTAATTGCAATGTCTTCCCAACAGGCCAAATGTGGAGATCCGGTTAAATGTGGACTAGAACAGAAACATATTGTTTTGGTTACCTTTCCTGGAACTCCTTTAGCAATACCGTTTAAAGTTCTGCTGCCTTTTCTGTGTTTGTTATTTGAGTAGCTAATGAAGGCAAAGTGAACAGAGCATTTAGACCACAAAAACTGTGGCTTTGCTAATCACAGTGTATGCTAGAAACAGATGCTCTATCTTGACATTGTCGTTGTCTATGTACAGACATTCAGTTTCTACTGGGAGAATCCACATTTGGTACACATTTGGTTTCTACTGGGAGAATCCTCATTCTTCCAGTAGAAACCAATGCATACAGATAGTCAAGCTTTTTCTCCTGAAGCAAAAATGGCTGCTCCAGGAGAAAAAACAACCCTGGAATAACCAGGGTTAAATCACTCCTGGGAAAGTTACTCCCAAGGAGACTGAATGTCTGCATACTTTCCCCTGGCTTAACTCTTCTTGGAGAAAAACACCCATGTCTTCCCAAGACCAGGGTCACCTTGTTCTGGAGAAGATTTGGGACATAACTGCTCCCCTCCTTCTGGGAAGCCAGGGAGGTGAGAGGAGGAGGAAGTGCCAGCTTCTCCCTGCCTGTTTGTTACATCAGAATTCCTGGTGTAGGAATCAGGCAGGGGCTTTTCTCCACTACTCCTTATGCTCAATTCCTGGTGCTCAGCAGTGGAGTGCAGGGAGCACCACAGGCCTCTGCCTGCTTCTTATACCAGAGGCCCTTCAGTGAGAAATGGGTAGGTGTTTAGCCATGCTGCTCCTTCCACAGTACTCCCTGAAACTGGGAGCAGAATGGAATAGCAATATCTGGACAGGGGGCTTTGACCTGCTGCTTTTCTTCTCTCCTGGATGGTCTGGGAGGACAAGAGAGCAGTGAGGAGAAGCCTCCAGCTGATTCCCCAAGCTGGGCAGTGTCTGGCTTGGGGAAAGTGCAGGGAGAACTGATGGCTGCCCCTTCTCTTCCCAGTGCTACTCTCTGCCTCATTCCTAAACCTTGGCACTGCCTGGCTTGGGAAAGTAGCTGGAGGCTTTGCCTTGCTACTCCCTTCCCCTCCCAGATCCATCCAGAAGGGGAGAGGAGCAGCCACAGCTGCTACCTGCCTCTTTCTCCAGCTAGGCAGTACCTGGATTGGAGAAGGACACAGGGCTTTTCCCTAGTGCTCTATCTGCTCTACTCCCAAAGACCGGGAGCAGAGCTGAGGAAGCTGCACCCTGCCATTCCCCAACCCTGGTCTTGGGAAGGTGCAAGGCATCTTTCCCTTCTATTTCATGCTTTTCAGGACTAGGAAAAGTGGAGCAGGCCCTGCTCCCTTCACCTTCCCAAGACAAGATCACTTCAGTTTCTGGCAGATGTGAAGAGCAGGGGAGAGGGGGCAGTTGCAGGCTGAACATCTGTACTGTTCCCTTTCCAAATGATTCTCAACAATTTCTGCATGTAGAAATGAAGGTCTCTTCCTGGCCATTGTCTAAACCAGTAATAGGGAGTACAAGCCTTATTTGTATTGGAATGTCAATGAAAGCGTAGCATAGCCATGTATTGTAAAAATATGGTTGCTTTAAAAATTTAAATTGTCATTTTAAAGAAGAATGCCGAAGTTTGAAGACGCTACCTTTTAGATGGACATTTGCATGTCATCTCAAGAACAAACTTTGATTAAAAACTGAATACAGCTGAAGTCAAGCAGAATGCTCTGCCTCGGTATGCAGGATAACATTGCTCCTCACTCAATGGTTGGCCTTTCTTGGTGAATACTTAATGACTGCTTGCTGCCACAGAGCTTGATGTTGCATACTCTGTGATTGCCAATATACAAAATGAGAACAGAATATTGTATAAGTATTCTTTAAAATATAATAATGTGTACCTTTATGTACCTTTTCTAAATCTTTCTAAGCTATTAGTTGTAGGTAAAATTCATATAAGCATCTAAGTGTTCATACCTTTGTCCACTCAGTATGGTTTTATTTATCTTTCCTTAGAAACAGGAACAGAAATCCCATTGGCCCAGGGAAATATGGATATGGAAAAGTGCCATATATATTACCTCTGCAAACTGACACTGGGCAGCCACCTCGAAAACTACGGAGGCAGCGACAGTTACCAAGGAACCAAGCATATCAACAAAATCCAGGTCTTGGGAGCCATCTGTACACCCGTCCAGCTAATCCTTCACTTCAACATGCGAATGTTTACCAAGAAGAACATGGACTTCAGCCTGGACATCAGGTCTTAGGGCCCTCAGTTTATCAGCATGCTTCAGCCCATTCTCAGGCCTTTCCTGCATCTCAGAATTTGTTCCATGGTAGTGGCTCAACCCATCATGGCTTTGTGTCACATCAGACTGTCCAAAGTGTGCCTCAGAGGGCTGCAGCTATTGTGTGTACTGGAGCCTACAAGCAACACAAGCTTTGCAACACAAATGTAAGTCTGTTTTTCTCTTTGTTAATCTAAGAGACATATGATGATTTCCTCGGCTCACAGGACTTCTGTTGTTCAGGTGGTTAAAAATCAAAAGGCTACATATTTATTTTATTAACTTAAAATATCCCGTAATTCAGTTTTAGACCAGGAAAAAAACTTGCTGTATGCTGATTTCAAAGAAGAGTAGCTTGGGGAATATCTATAGCAGCAATATCTTATAGCATCCATTCAGAGCTTCAAATAGTCGTTATACCCCCATGGAATATATATGATTCCCTTTGGATAGAGGAAGAAGCTGAGGCACAGAAAGTTTATGCGACTTTGCTATATAGCATAATAAAAGATATCAGGGCTGGGCAATTATTTTGGCTGGAGGGCTACTTAATGAGTTTTGGGGATCTGTCAAGAGCCATATCCATCTCTCTCCTCTGCCTGTCTGTCTCACTGTTGCTGTTTCCCCGTCCTTCCAGAACCCACCAGAATGGATACAACAGAATGACAAACATGCAGGGAGAGCAGAATACCTAAACAGAGATCGACTAGAAAGGAAGAAGAGTTTTGTTATTGAGAAACTGGGGTGGGCATTTGGGGCCAGTTCTCACCTCTGTCATACACCTTTTCTGTTATTTGTAGTTTGCCACAGTGGGTGGGTGGCGTCGTCAGCTGTGGATGCTGCTGGTAGGTTCAGGGGCCTGGATGCAGAACCTGCAAGCAGCATCCTCAGCTGATGCCACCACCCTCCAGGCACAGTGAGAACTTGTGCCTAGAGCCCTTATGTGTAACTTGCCAGCAGCATCATCTGTGGACCCAGGCAGGAGCTGCTGCCATGGCGAGTAGGCAGCAGCATCAGCTGTGGACATTATTGGTAGTTCTGTGTTAGGGCTTCTGAACAGACTGGTATCATCCACAGGTGATGCCACCGCCTGCCTGCTGTTTTGGAAGCCCCATCCAGGTCCACAGATGATGCCTGATGCTACTGGGTGGAAACAGTGCCACCCACCAGCCACCGAGGGCTAGATCCAGTTAGTTGGCAGCTGTTCACCTGCAGGCCAGATCAAATCTGTTGGCGGGCTGAATCTGGCTTATGGGCCATATTTATTGAGATAAGTAGACAGCAGAGGCAGGATAGAAGTAGCAGTCATTTCTCCTGATTCCCAGACCCAAGCTTGTACTGTGAGAAGCAGCTGCCTTTTCTGATACATCGACATACCATAATATCGTAAATTAGCTTACGCTGGGCAGAATGCTATGTTAACATGAGAATACAGCTTCCAATACTGAGTTAGCTTATTTATAACTAACTCCACTGTCTATATACATGACACTGCATTGTACAGGCATTAATCTTTCTGACAGACTCTCCTTGCTGTCATATCTTGGCAAATTTATGACGAGTTAGGGTTCATGGTATGAGGATTACAAATCTATTGCATTAGAATGTAATGGGTGATCCAGAAGAGGAGTTTGCATGGTGGAGGTGAGACACAGGCTGTTCCACCAATGAAAGAAGGAAGGGAGAATTTAGGAGAGATCATTGGGAGGAGTGATTTTTTTTTTTTTTTTTAATTATCTTTGGTATTGCCACAGTATGTCAGGGGCTTTCCAAACTCAAAAGCAAGCGCCTTTCTTCTTTGAAGAGTTTACTAGAGTAAGGGGAAACCAGAGCAGAAATTAGGTGGAGTGAAAATGTCTTCAGCAAAGCCTTAGGAACAAACATTAAAAAAGCATGAAGTAAATCATGCAGTGAAGCAACAGGTTGGATGATGCCGGGAGCCCAAAAGAAAGATGAGTATAGCAGCAGCATTTCAAATAAAGTAAAAGGTGAGAGGAAGAGTTAAGAGTAACACAGGAAAAGATGGTTGAGAACCAGGCCCAGGGCTGGAAGGGCCCTCACAAGGGATAATGAAGAAAGGACCTTATTAAATGATGGCATCTGGAATAGAAAGGACAGAGTTGTGAACATGGGAGACAGTGAAGATATCAGAGGGATGGAAAAGAAAGAAGAGGAAGCAAAACTAGATATAAGTTCTGGTGGGTTTGGGATGGTGGTTAGGCAATTGGTATAAAAAGACCAATGTTAAAGTAAGTGCCGAAGCTCCATTTAAACTTGAACAAAAATGGGATATAATGTGCATGGATACATTCTTCAGATGATAAAGTTTCCATTAGATAGGTGAAAGCTGCAGTTGCTGTTCAGGGACTTGTTTCTCCCTGGACTGTGGTAATTAATAGTTATAATTAATAATTAAGTAGAAACAGTTATTAGAGTAAAGGCAGGAACCAAAAGAAAATAAGGCTGGCCCATAGATTTCTACTTATTTACTTCTTGTTGTTGTCTAAATACTTTTACTTTAGTCATTAATTTAATTTATCAGCCACAACATGCTCCAGGGTCTCCGCCAGCATTCAGGGAACACTAGTTATTTTCTGTTTTTGGTAAATCCCAGGAGGTAGGTGTAACTTATCATGGGAAAAGATTCTGTTAATTGGTGTGTTTGGCCACTACCTCTACAGTTTTTCCTAAGGGCAATTAATTAATGACAAATTAACTCAATCTGCTGTAGTCCTTAAATCATTTCCTCATGGTTGTACATTTATTGTTTTTTCATTTATCGCTGAACTCATTTTACATGACTGACAGCTTGGTTCTTAAAAAGTTAAGTTTGCAGATCTTAGTTAGTGAGAGCCTGGAAAAGGCTTATATTTGTGCAAGTGTTTTTGCAGGGCATTAAACCTATTTTCTCATTGTGTAAATGGCTCCCTGTTTTCAGCACCTGCACGTGCACTTTGCACATCCATCCTCAGACTCTACAGCTCTGTCACTGTCTCTAGTGGATTATGGAATAGAGAAAATCCCACACGACTTACTGATTTGTTTGATGCAGTGGCTGGGGGAGTATTTAGTTGATTGCATGATTTCACAATGATTACCCACTTAATTCATACAACACAATTTTATTTTAAAATTCTTTGCTACACATATAACACTGCTTAGCTTTAAGAAATACCACAAACATTAAGAACACAATAACTACATATATCATAAACAATGCTCCAAATGCACTTCCTTCCCAAACAATGCTATAAGAATTAGTATTACAAAAACAACTACAATTACAAATAAAAGTTAAATTTGAATCAATACTGTTATTTTTCATAATATACTTACAGTCCTAGAATTCTGAGAAACCAAATCCCCAGGTATACCTTCTTCTTTAGTTATGGTTTTAGGGTTGGTCTCAGCAGTGATAGGAACAAGTCCCCTTCTTTCAGTCCCTTTTGGGCGCTCTGCAGCTTCAGCTTGACTTAAGGGATTCGTGTTCAGGGAGAGGGTGGTTCAGGTGATCAGTCTGATCCGGCCTACGCTTGCGATTCTTCCTTCGTTGTTCTACAGGTGAAGTTACCTCCAAATTGGGACAGTAGGTTACAGTTTTTATTGAGTGAGTTGCCGTCTTGGGCCCCTCCTACCCAAACCTGTCACTACTCCCAAATTTGGGCTCGGATCTTTCTCAACAGATTTCTGCTGGGTTCAGTTTCTTTTGTTGATCATTTAATTACTTTGAGGAATTTCCTTTCTTTCCAATCTTTTAAAAGGCTCCTAGGTTTTGATTTCTCGGAATGTGGGATGTTTGCTTAAGGGTCATTTTTAGGTTAACTTTGTTAAAGGCCTCTAAAGATAAAATTCAAGAGTGAAGACTTTGAGCAAAGTCAGGACCTTCCACACATAGACCAAAACAATGGCTTAGATAAGAGGATGAATCTTGTCGTCTTCCTAAACTGGCTAATGGGCAACTATTACAAACATTCAAATATTACATTCAATATGACAGTCACCTCTTTAAGCAGAAAACGTATAATAAACATCAGTCCCTCTTGCATCCAGGCATACCACATATGCAGCCCTAGCTAAAATAAGGGTTGTTGGTTGTAACCATGTTGACTAAGGACATAGGCAGGCAAGGTTCTTTGGGTAAAAGTGATATCTTTTATTAGATCAAGTAAATAGTTGGAAAAATTGTTCTTTGCAAACTTTCAGGTTCAAACACCTTTCTTCAGATGTTAGAGAGAGTCTGCTGTTGGTTTGGGTGCTCTCCTGGGGAGATGAGAAGCCAGTACGCAAAAATGCAGGTCTGTGAAAATGCAAGTGCTTGGTAGACAATAAGTGGATGTGGAGAGGTGGAGAAGGGGGATGTTGACGTGGTAAAAGAATGCAGCTAGTAAACTGTAGAGAGGTTACTTGGGGTTCTCAGATGGCAGGTAGGTTTTATTTGTGCTATAATTCCAGTGTCTCTATTTAGTCCATTATTTTTTGTATCCAGTAGATCCATGAAGTGAAATTAATAGGCTTGTCTACAAAAGGTGTTTTCTAAATTCCCTTTGAGGATTAGAACTGAGAGATTGCAGAGAGTGGTTATCTTGGGTACACAGAACAGCCCCACCAGGCCTGCCCAGTGTGCAGCTTGTGCAGCTGCAGCTGGCAGGGTGCTGCACAGGACAGGGGGTGCAGCAGTGGCTGCGGGGACCTGTGCCCCCCATGGTGGGTGGCTGCCAAGCTCCAGGCCTGCCAGAGCCTCTGAGCTGGCCTGGGCAGCCTGCTGTCTGGCCAGCAGCTGCCTGTGCTGCCAGGGCAGGATGTCACGGAGCTGTAGCTGGCTGGGAGGTGTTACCAGATTTGCCCATTACTTTGGGGTGTGCTCATTTATTAGAGATACGTTTCTAGGTTCTTGGTAATTCTGTCAATGTGCTGCTTGTGTTACTTGTGTTTCTATACAGAGCTGTATATCTCCCTTCTGCAAGTCCTCACCCCCCAACGGAGCTATCTTGCAGGATTCAGTTTCAATGGGGTTGGGTTCCTCCAGTCCCCAAATCAGTCATACAAACAAACACACACAGATTAACATGACACGCCTGACCCGGCCAGGTTGATCTGCATGGACAGGCTGACACCCTCATATGCCAAGAATCAGTTCATCAGAGCAACAATAAACTACAGTCAGACA